ATAACAGAGAACTGCTCCCATTTCAGTAAGCAGATTCTACCTACTTACATATGAACAGGGCTGGCCTCAGATTAGCTGGTAAATGTGAGTAAACACCCAAGGCGTTTACTGAATGACTGAACCATCAAGGCTTGAAAGATTAGCAAACTATACTGAAACTGAAATTGAACTTCAAACGAAAGCTCTTCTGAAATTGAAGAGTCTCAGGAGGAAACTAGGAAATTCAGAAGCGTCAGTATGTCCACTGAGTCAACAAAAATGTAATTACAAGGGAAAAGACAAATTAAGAGACATGAGCAAGACTGCTGCGGCCTAAATAAAAGAGATCTTTCAAACATAATTTGATGATTTTATAAGAGATGAAACTATGGCAGTCAAACTCAGAAATATTAGTGTGTTCATAAAGCATAGTTTGTGCTATAGAACCTTTGAGTTTCTGTAAATATATAAAAACCATTATGAGGTTCAAACAATGTCTTCTGCCAGCGGCACAGCATTACCCATGGTAACATTAGGTTCTAGAAACTTTTTTCCTAAGAACACAATGGAAATCTGATTTTTATGTCGCACATTTATTGCCATCTTTGGAAATCCACCAAGATGTGTTCAGAGTTGTCTGAATTTCAGTTATTAATAGTCTATGAATTCAAAGAACCTGTGCTATGTATCATCTGGAGGAAAAGTTAAAAAAACTCAACCAAAAAAAAGTTACCAGAAACCTAGAAAACACCTATTCTCTTAGTGACATCAGTTAGAATATTGCAAGCAGACCTAACCAGGATTTTTTGATGCAACTTTCTTGTACATTCATCTGACTTTCTGCAAAAAAGCACTACTTTCCAGAAATTTCTCATTGTAAAAGTAGCTCAAGTGAAGAAAAAATTTCTAGTTTAAGTCCTGGTGAGAGTGGAAACAAAGACCCCACATTTCAAAATAATCCACAGTCTTTTGTCAGCCTATCTATCCTTTCCCAGAAAAAGACAAAAAACATCGTGTCAACATCTTCACAAAATTAATTCCTAATTATAGGTCAAGCACCAATATCTGTTCATCCAAATAAGTATCTGACAGCATGTCATTCTTTAAAGAGCTTCATGATTCCTTTCCATAAGGAACTTGTGTGCCTTATTTAGAATACATCCAGAAAAGAATGTTTAATGTTTCTTAACTTACTATGCCAGTTTTGGATACCTTTAAATTCAAGTCTGCAATTCAATCCTAAATGTCCAAGAGCTTCCTTTGTTCCAGTTCTTCTGTTACTGCAAACTACAGGCTCAAAGAAACTGAAGAACACGGCTGTTATCTGTTAGTCAGTGACCTTGTAAATCTCAGAGGAAAAGACCTAAATTACAAATGAAAATAGCCTATGGTTTTTATCAAAACCTTCAGTAGAAAATGGGCATGTATTCAACATAGCTGTGGTTCATTTGAGGAATGGATCTGTAACTCCCTATGTCCCCAGATAGATGCTTGAATTTATGTTCAGAATATTTAAAAAATTTCAACTGTCTCCTCATGTTCTTCTATGATGATTAACCGTGCTGCTGTAAATCTTGCTTAAATGTGTGAACAACTCAATGTTAGGAGAAAAAGGGTCTTCAGTTTGCACAGCTGTGCACAATTGGGGCCACAGAGGCCAAAGAACAGCAAGACATATCTCATCTCCTTTTCTTCTCATTCTTCAGGCACACTAGAGACCAGGGAAGCTGAGCAGGGTCTGGCCCTTAGCAGCAGGAGTTGGAACATAAAGAAGTACCAATTAAATCAGAACATTTTATAATACTGCAAAGTGTCCTGAATGCACAACAAGGTGATACTTTTGCCCTTTTTTTTTTTAAATACACCTATTTCTTTTCACCTTTCCTCTTCTTTAGCAAAGCGCTTTGCTTAATCTTTTTAGGTGGAAAAGTATACAAAAGCTTTCACAGTAATGACTGATGGACAGGATGTATCCTCCAATTATGTTATCTCTGTAGCCTTTTCCAGAATATGCTTTCAGTGGTTGTTAAAACAGATCTTCTGATACCTTTTAGTTTGCCTCATTCTTGCATGGAAAACTTATATGATGTTTTTATTATTCTAATTTTCCAGACTAAACAAAGATAAACCATTACTCTTTAGTACAATGATTTCTTGGTTTTCCATCTCTTGTAAAGAAGCAGCTTCTTCAGTGCTGCCAATCTATATGAGATACAGTTATTTTAGATTTTTTATTTTGCTGTCACTATTAATGTTGTTCTTTCCATTGTCACATTTAATCTGCATGCCATCAACATGTCACCGATAGAACAGCTGTCACTTTATTATGGTCTTCTTTTTTTCCATTGTAATTAATGATATGGTCTTTCTTGACATGCTACAATTTACTTGCAGCAATATAGGTGCTCTGGATGGGGACAGGGTGATATAACCTTGAGTGACAACCAACAGAGTAGCAATAATCTATTAAGGTATTTGAAATGGAAAAGAAAAATCTCGCTCAGCTAAGCAGCCTGAAGGATCAAAGGATGCCAAACAGTCTTCTGTCTGAAAAACAGAAGTCATTGTACAGCAAAATGGTACTTGGACTTGTTAATGGCTACTTGGATCGCTATCAGCAATCATACTGTAAGGATATTTAGGAGGTCAGTTCAATAACAGTAATTTGTTCTAACACTGTTTTGATAATCAGTTTAAAACGGGTTAAAAAGCCCCCACAACATACATACATATATACATATATATATATATATGTAAGTGTGTGTGTGTGTATATATATATATATAAAACCACTGGACCCACGTCTTCCAGTTTTTATTTCAATTACGGTGCAAGATGGAAATTCTTTTATAGTGCCTGACATTGTGTCACTTTCCAATAACATGGCTGCTGGTAGTAAGAGGCTAAAATGCCATTTGTAGTTAAAATCTCTATTTTCAGATACATTGTCTAGTTTATTCATGCAAAGAAGTAATTTTACTTTTTGACCTTTCTGCTGGACTGAACAAAATGAGTGAAGACGTATTTTAACAGTCCTTATATTTGAGAGAACTGTTACAGCAGCTGAAATTGCCAGTCTCCTGTATTATTCACATTAATTTATTTGTAATACACTTGGCCAGACCATTCTATTTTAGATATTTAATTCTTTTTGTTTAGATTTACAGTGAAGTTAAAAAATTAATGAGGAGAAAATCGAAGCATTCTAGAGCATTTTAATATAAAGTATCACAACTGCAATGCTCCATGCAGGCCCAGGTTTTAAAATGCTAAGATTTGTTCATCTGCTTAATTACTTTTTATGGTAAGTAAAAATGCTTAAGCATAAGCCCATGCTTAAGTGCATTGCTGAGTTACGGCACAACTCCCAACATCTTCTCTTCAGCATAACAAAAAATCCTATGGAAATTTAATGACCTAATAATAAAAAGATCTTAGGGCCCTTTCAGAGATGCTGTATGCCTTCACTCCTCCTTGATATCTTTGGGAGCTGAAAGTGTCTAAAAGCCTACCAGACTGTGTCCTACCTGCTTAAGTCTGACTTCATCCAAAAAAGATTAGTTTTCAATGGTACTTTAAAAGCCCAGGATATCTGTCAGAGCACTTGCTGGAAGCTGGCATACATTAGTAAAAACAGTATCTCTGGGGGCTGGAAAAACTGAATATAGGTTATAAGGAGTTATCACAGAAGTTACAATTAAGCAGTTATCACAGAAGTTACAATTAAGCATGACATCGGTGAACACAAGAAGAACAACACATCATTCAGAAATTACTAAAGTCACACAAATAAGCAAAGGATTGGAAAAAGCTTAAAAAGGTTAGTCATAAATATAGCTAAGCAAAGAGAATACCAATGAAATGAATGGTCACAGATTACTCTGAAAAACAGCAGAGAGAACAGCCACATGTGAGAAACACTGCAGACCCACAAAACGTAAATGTAGAAAATATCAGAGGAACAGGTCACTCTGTGGTGCCAAGTGTCACAAAGGACCCCAAGGTAAGCACTGAGCAGAATACTGCTGCTGCTGCTTCCACAGACTCAGTCAAGTGCAAGGACAGGGCTGACAAAGCAGTACAAGGTAAATTGGCTAATTCATGGCAATCTGAAAATAAAACTGATTGGCGAATGTCTATGAGTGTCAGTAATGTAACTGTTTCTGATAAACAGGTAACATGGTACTACCTAAAATGCTCTCTCTACCCCCACTAGGTGTATGAGATCTTTACTGGTAACTTGAATGTCTAGATGAATGAAACTATTACCTGCATTTTGGCTTTCTGACTGCGTGAATAAATGAGAACACAGAGCTGATAAAGTATGAACAGCCACACCAGCTTTTCAGCTAATTGTATTTTTTGTTTATGCAAACCTGTACATTCATATTCTGTATATACATAAGGCCACACACACACATGGAGCTTGCAAATTCACAGCGTGATACATAAATTATAGGCAACCTGTTGATTCATAATGAGGCTGCAGGTCCAGGATAACACCAAGATGAAGAATCTAAGGACCGTATGTTCCCCTGACACAGAGAACCATCCTCTTTTGCTGGCCATCTGTAAAGGTCAAGAAGCCAAACGCACACTGATGAATCTGGCTGCAGGCAAGACCGGCAGGCCACGTGCGCCTGAACTCCTTTCCTTCCCTGCCTGCGGACTGCTGTCGGGGCTTTGGGTCATCCCTGTGGTGCTCACCTCAGATCTCACCTCTCTGATGTGACATTCCCACCTCACACCCCACATCCCTGTGAGGTGCCTCCCTGGTGCCACGGTTGGGTTTTACAGGTGCCCCCGTGCACGCGTGAGACCCTGCGGGTGCCAACCGTCAAGAAGCCCAGCGGCAACTGCTCCCTCCGGGGCCATGAGCTTTGCAGCTTCACACGCAGAGGCTGGGAGAACCCTCGGTCCTTTGGAGGGGGGCGGGGGTAAACACACAAACACGGCGTGAACCCAACAGGCGGCACCGCCAGGCCAGGATGAACCGCGACTGCTCGGGCTCACGCGGGGAGCGACGGGGGCGGGGCAGCCGCTCGCTTCCGTTCCCTGGGCGGCCGGTGATGCTGCTTGTCCATCGGCGGCTGCCGTACCGACCGCTCTTCCCGCCGCTGAGGGCCGGTTGCGCGGTGGATCGCGGGCGCTTTTGAACCGCCATGAGCCTGTGGGTGGACAAGCACCGTCCCGCGTCCCTCGGCAAGCTGGACTACCACCGCGAGCAGGCGGCGCAGCTCCGCAACCTGGTGAGCCTGCAGCCGCCGGTCAGGTCTTCCTCGCAGTCAGGACTCTCCGGGAGTCGCTGTCCCGCCGCCTGTAAAGCTGCCCTGCGGGTGTGTCGGAACGGGGTTGGGCGCCTTCCCTCGGTGCAGGCCCTGGCCTCCGGAGCGGCTTCCGCGCCGCTGGGAAGGCGGTTCGCGGGCATCGCGTCCCCCTCGGAAGCATGGCCTTTACCCTAAGGAAAAGGCTCCGAGGAGATCAGCGACTTTCCGAGAGTGATGCGTACCTGTGCTTCCTGCTGGGTTTAGCCGAGGCCCTGAGAATATGGCTTAGCTTGTTGACTTAAAGTTAGCTGAAGTTTGAAGGTGAGCAGCTGGGAAGAAAAGCTAGGGCTATGTAATTGCTCAGATGTTAAAAGGCCTGCTTCCCCTGCCGGATGTTCTGTCTTTACTAGATCACTGGATTGATGCACTACCGTAGTGTTTGTCACTGTTAAATCTCGTTATAGTAAATTCTGACTGGGGTTTGGTTAGATGTTCTCCAGTTCACACTTTATAGCTTTTCAAAAAGCAAACTCCTAACTTCGTTTAAATGCAGGTTACCTGTCACTTGTTTGGTAATATTCAAGGCTTGCAGATGAACATCAAAGTAATTATGTATCGTATGAGAGTTTGTCTGCTTTAAACTTTGTTTTAATCTTTTTAACTGGGTGTTTATTGCAGCTGTCACTCTAGAAACGCTGGAAAGCCTGGAATGCTTTTTTGTTGGGTTTGGGGTTTATTTAGTTGTTTAGTGGTTTGGGATTTTTTTGGGGGGGGGGGAGTTGCTTGGCATCAAATGAATTACATATGGTCTTGAGAAAAATATGTTCTCTAGGAAATATTGCTGCAGGAAAGGAATTCAGTAGCTCTGATTCTGGGTGCTGTGTTGTGACTGGGGTGGAAAAGTTTTTGCATGTAAACTTGGGTGAGAATGGAAGCATGACTCTTATAAGAAAAATACTGTTATGTCTTACTAATCGTGTTGCTTCGTGTTCAGGTTCAGTGTGGCGACTTCCCTCATCTGTTGGTGTACGGACCATCAGGAGCTGGAAAAAAGACAAGAATAATGTGTTTGTTAAGGGAATTATATGGTGCAGGAGTGGAAAAACTGAGGATTGAGCATCAAAGTATAACGGTAAAAAAGAATCTTCCACCTGCTGTTAAGTAATGTGAATATTGATGCCCTGATGTATTTAGTTGTGAGGACTTTATCTGATTTTTAAAAACAGGTGGTTTTTCTCACTCAGTATCTTCAAGCTTCTTCATGTAATTAATCAGACTACTTTTGCTACATGAACAAATAATTTTGCCAAATGTTCTTTTTTTCTTAGGTCGTCATGGGTGGGAGGATGTGGGGGGGTTTGCTGCTTTGTGTAGCATTATTTTACTTTTTTTTTTTTTTGAAAGGAGGTCTTTACAGGTCTATTTGGACAACAGCATGTATTATGATAACATAGCTCTCAGTTAGATGTATAGAATTTCATTTGTCTGTAGAAGTAACCCTTATTTTAAAAACTGCTAGCACTGCTTTTGACATATATACAAATCTTAATGTGTTTTCTCATTCTCATAGTGACAGTTTCAGCATTAGCAAAAAAAACAGTTCTGTCTGCTTTGGTCTTAATCATTTAATTGTTTGTTATTAAAAGGTGATATTATCCATTCAAAATCCTTGTTATGGAAGGCTTAACCAGCAATGAATTATGAAGGTTGACTTGTCCAGAGGCTTTCTCTCCAAAACTTTTCTTTGTATGGACAAAATATCACCCATTTTGAATGTCTGATTCCAGTAGTAAGATTTCCTGTTACAAAACTCAGTAACTGGAGTTTGCAGTAATACATACTATATGTTGCTATATCATTACTGTTGTCATTTTATAGGTTGGATGATGTGTCAGTACTACTTTTCTGCTTTGGAGGTGGGGTTTGGGGTAGGAGATCTGCAAGTCTAGTGTCTCAGCAGTTCTTTCATCTCTGAGACTTTTGGTTTGGCTGTGACCTGGCCACTTGTAAACCGTAAGATAAACTTTTGCATCAGACTTTTTAGAATACTCTCTGAAATCTAATATTTTTACTTTCTACAGGCACCTTCTAAAAAGAAAATTGAAATTAGCACCATTGCAAGTAATTATCACCTTGAAGTTAATCCAAGGTGAGTGTACAGTAAAAATGTACTACTTCAAATATGAGCTGCTGGTCACATTGCATGTGGTTTAAACCTGGGTATATAAGGGTCCGATGGCCCAATTTATTGCCTGAGCAAATTAGGTAATGATTATGGGTTCATGTTGCAGATGGGAGCAGGGAGGGGATTTTTAATTGAACTGCTGTAAGCTAACAAAAATTTGGATTGCTGTATGCTAAAGACAATGACATTCTCCTTAACAAGCCGCGTAAGCATGCTAATATTGAAGACTGGGTAACAGAAACAATTCTGAATTCATAGACTTAGCCATTTAAGTTGAAATTGAGAACTTTTATTGGAACCAACACCCCCATATTGTTTGTTCTCTTACAAATACAACAATTAAGTGATTTGAAAGTAAGCAAGGTTTATCCAGTAACTCTTAAAATAAAAACTTAGAGCACGAGAAAGAGCAGCACCACAAAATACTGGGAATCCTGTCATGAGCAAGGTCAGATGTTGATTTAAACAACAGAAGCTATAATGGTGTACAGTGTATCTTCTTTGACAGTTGTGAAATTGCTAGTGATAGTTCACTGACCCGAAGTAAATACTTGTGCTTGCCTGAAACCCTTTAATGTTGCTTTAAATCACATGAGAGTAAATGTCACTGTGCATTGGGAGGCTTCGATTATATTGGCTTTGTGTCTGGGTTGCAGTTATAATGTGTTTCCTGAAGTAACTTTCACTATGTGCTTATTGCTAAGATTTTCTCATGTTGCTCTGTGTTTTAGAAGCCATTCTCATGTACCATGTCTCCCTTAAAAGCTTGTTCTGCAGCTAATCTCAGTGTACTGATTAGTGAATATCCGTTCATATCCTAATACAGACCCAAATAATTAAAACTGAGGCTTTTGTTGGTAATTATTGTCTTGAGTATATCATTTGGTGATATAAAATGTGTGACCTTTCAGTCTTCTACTGTGATAACCTAATACTACTAACACTTCTGTTACTCTCCTTAAACTCCTTTTAGCTTGAAATATAAAGTAATTGTATTTTACTTTAAATGTAAAAATCATGAAAGTGTAGAACTGCTGTATTGTTATTGTATGTAATTGTAGTGCTGAGTTTTGGTTAAGAATTAATATATCGATTCATAGTCTTTAAGTGATCAGGTAATTATCATGTCTGTCTGACCAGACTGTAATCCTACATGTGCTATGCTGTGATCTGTGAGGTTTGATTGAGTTACAATACTGTGAAATCATGTTGTACATCTTGAGTAACACAGGATGTGATAAATGACTAACAGGGAAAGGAAATTAACTTCTGTGAAGGTCTCTGCAGACATTGAATTTATTATGGAACTTTATTAGATAGAGCTGTCCTTCTTTCTCCAAAAGAGTATGTTGTCAGAATTCCAAAGCATTCTCAGCTGGTCATTTGACTAGCTTGGGTAGGTGCTTTAAAATGGATTCTCCTGGGTAAGCAAGTAGTGAAAGAATAAGGAACAATAAAAATTAAACATTTGTGGTATGATAACTGCCTTTGTTCCTTGCTTTTGTGGAATGTTTTATGTGTTCACATAGTGTTGCAGATAATCTTTCACCATTAAGTTATAACTCTGGATTCTCTGTTACTGCAGAAAATGATTTATCTTTAAATGTTAGGAAACTATTTTAATCGCTTTCCATTTCCAAAACCTGGCCTTGTTCATGAGTAGAATTTGCTTCATTTGTGGGGGTTTTTGTTGTTGTTGTGGGGTTTTTTGTGTGTGTGTGTGTGTTTTGTTCTTTTTGTTGTTGTTGTTGTAATCAAAGGTCTGCTCTCCTGCTGAATGACAGATCTCTGCAGTCAAAGTCAGTGTAGCCTGTTCAGCAGATTGTGAACTGTTGAGCTAAAATGCTTCTGTCTGTTCTGCTGCCTTCTTGGCAAGAATGGGGATGGTCTGGTTGAGTGGTGACTAGAACAGGGCAGACAAATGCTCTTTCATTTGCCTGCCAGTGTAGTATTGCAGAGCTACTGCTACCTCTGTGAAGGTAATAGTCTGGGGATAGTAAAGAGTGTGAGGGTTGTTGTTTGTTTGTTGTTTTTTTTTTTTCCCCCTCTTCTTCACTTTTTCAGTAATCTAGTTTGCAAGTCAGGCCCCCCCCCGCTTGTCAAATCCAAATCAGACTAGCTGAGCTACTAGTCTGGGGACTGAGAAGGCAGTGCAGTGCTACTGTAATGGACAGTGAGAAGAGGCAGGAGGTGATCTAGTGTTTCCCCAAGTTTTCCTGCCTTCTAAGACAGAAAAAAGCTAAACATCTGTGCTTAATAATATCTCAGTATCAGCCTTTTACTAGTAACTCTTTGTAACTTCAGTGTGTCTGTCATTCAAGTTTATAATAGGCACATAGATTGTTCATAGCTTGACATCTAGTTTTCAGGGGAAAAAAAACATGCATTTACATCAGTCTTTTGAATCAGGCATCCTGTTACATTGTTAGACTTATTTTTTTTCCCATAATGGGTAAAAGTGTTCACATTTCGTGTCTTTGACCAAACTGTAGGTAAAAATGTTCAGATTTCGTATACCAGAAAAATAAGTCCTATTTTAATGAGCTAATAAAACATTTGACAATGGTTTCACTACTTCCCAATACAGTGCTACTAATCCAGGGGTGCCTGTGTAAGGTTAGATTGTTTTTATTATTGGGAAGGTAACTTTCAACAAAGTGTGTTGAGCTTAATTCCAACCAGAATAACTAATGAATGCTTTCAGCATTCTTGTTCAGTCTTCAGGGGCTTGTTCAGGAGGATATGTTCTATATGCAATATAAAGTTGTTGTCTTAAAACAAGTTTTAATCAAACTCCTGTTACAGTGATGCGGGGAACAATGACCGTGTAGTGATACAGGAGCTCTTGAAGACAGTAGCACAATCACAACAGCTTGAGACGAGCACTCAACGAGATTTTAAAGGTAAAAACAGTTAAAACCAGTCAAGGTATTTTTTAAACTTTTTTTTCAGGTCTTTCAGCTTTTTTGTCTGTATCCATGTATGCATGAGGGCATACATGAAAGTTTTCCCAAATTAAAAAACCTCACATTTTATTTGTACTGTAAGGGCATCTTGTCTGGTTAAATACTCAGTATGAGGTTGTCTCTTGTGTTGGTTTCTTAGGAGGGCAGGTTTAGTCAAATGTCTGTGACAAGGCAGAGGGAGCTTGGATCCCTGCTGTCTTTTTTCTAAGTCTGCCACTGAAATGTATTGTAACTTAGCTTAATGATGTACAGTAATATTTGAGTTATGAGCTAGGCTTAGTACTGAGTTGAGGAGCAGAATAACCTTATGGCAAATGGTAATGTCTAAATTAGGTGTTAGCCTCTTGGGGGATGAACCATCTTAGACAAATTTTAGGAGACTTTTATCCACAATGTACAGAACGTTGGGTAAGAATATGAAGATTTTCATTGAGTTTTCCAAAACATGTTGCTACAACTGGCTTGTTTTACTTCCCCATGGCTAAACTGAAAGCGAAATTAGAACTGTGTAACCAGAGATTGAAGGAGAGAGGAAATCTTGACAGAGTAGAGCAGAAATTATTTTAAAATGATCTTGAATTTAATACTTTTGTTGTTTTTCTCAGTGTTCTCAGGAAACACTATATTTCACTTAAGCTGTTAGACACTGATTGGCTCTACTTGTTATAGAGTCATAGAATTGTAGGATCAGAATCAACTAGGTTGGAAAAGACCTTTAAGATGATCAAGTCCAACCATTACCCCAGGGCTGCCAAGGCCACCACTGAAACATGTCACTGAGGTCCTCATCTACACAGATTTGAACAGTTTCAGGGACAGTGATTCCACCACTGCCCTGGGCAGCCTCTTCCAATGCCTGATCACCTTTTTGGTGAATTTCCTGATGATATTTCCTGATATTTCCTAATACCCAATCTAAACCTCCCATGGTGCAGCTTGAGGCCATTTCCTCTTGTCCTATCGCTTGTTACTTGGGAGAGGAGACCAGCCTCTCTCTATCCTCCTTTCAGGTAGTTGTAGAGATCAATAAGGTCCCTCCTGAGCCTCTTTCTCTTCTCCAGGCTAAACAACCCTCAGCCATTCCTCATAAGACTTTGTTCTCCAGACATTTCACAGCTTTGTTGCCCTTTTCTTGACCTGCTTCAGCACCCTGATGTCTCTCTTATAGTCAGGGGTCCAGAGCTGAACACGGTATTTGAGGTGCAGCCTCACCAGTGCTGAGTACAGGGGATGATCATTGCCCTAGTCAGGCTGGCCACACTACTTCTGAAACAGGCTGTTATTGATGTATATATCTTTACAGCTGCAGTCATACCATGCACCTCAAAATATCTGATAAGCTGGCCAGTCCCCTTGTGCTGCATATATAAGCAAAAGAGAAATGGGTGGTCTTGTTCCCCCAGACTGTTCTCTCTGAGCCATTCGGAGTACTGAAATGGGCTGCTATGAATTGCCTATGGAGGAACCTGCAGAAGGTAGCTTGTTAGGTTAGTCACTTCAGATTTGATGTCTTGTGATTGTTCTGAAGCATTTTTGAAATATGTTTTTCTTTTTTTTTTAAAAGACCATGGAAAGGCGCTGCAGCTATAATAACAAGGCAGCTTCTGCTACTCCTGTGTTAAGCTAAGACACTGGCTTTTAAATATAAAATGTATTGAGGGGAGTATTCAAGAAGTTTTTGGTTTTTGATATGTCCTTAAGCCATTAATTCTTTTGCATTTCTTAATCCTTTAAAAAGTTACTGTACTAATTGCTTGTACACCTACCTGTATTATTTCTTGGCACTGAAGTGTTGCAGGCCCTATTCTGAAGAAATTGCCATTCCAGGACATGAATATAGGGTGTGAATGAATAGAAGATTATACAGACAAAAAAGCACACAGGTTGTCTTAATCTTTATTTTCCTGCCCATGGAACCATGCTGCCTTTTTTTCTGCTTATATCATTTATTTTGGTATTATTGCTTGTATGTCAAGGTACTCATTTCCTTGGAAAGATTTGAGTTTAAAAAAAAAAAGTCCAACTATTGTTAATCCTTTTTCAGTGGTGCTGTTAACAGAAGTCGACAAACTCACTAAAGATGCTCAGCATGCTTTGCGAAGAACAATGGAGAAGTACATGGCGACCTGCAGGTTGATCCTGTGCTGCAACTCCATGTCAAAAATTATAGGACCTATTCAGAGCAGATGCCTGGCTGTACGAGTGCCTGCTCCCAGCATTGAAGATGTATGTTGACACTGAAGCAAAAATAAGTTATTTAAAACTTCTTACTAGATAAGTTCTTGCTGTAGACTTGGGAAATATTTTAATTCCATGAAGTGACCTAGCTTTCCTTTGTGGTGGGTGACTTGTCAAGCATATCTTAAAAAAGACTGGTCCATCTCTGGTCCAGAAATGTTTCACACAGGAGAATGAGTAGGTGCTAAACTGTTTGCTAAGTGTTGCATTCCATGCTGTCTGTTTTTCATCTAGATCTGCCAAGTCTTGTCCACTGTGTGTAAGAAAGAAGGCCTGACTCTTCCTCAGGAGCTGGCTCAAAGGCTTGCAGAGAAATCTGGCAGGAATCTTCGGAAAGCACTACTTATGTGCGAGTCCTGCAGAGTACAGCAGTAAGTCACTGCTAAAAATTAATGCAAATCATACTCTCAGATGCACAAATAAACATACTTCTGAGGCCTTATTAGAATAGGGGGCAGTTTTCTTTGATTTCAGTTCTTTTAAAACCTTATTGTTCCATAGGTATCCTTTTACTGCTGATCAGGACATTCCTGAGATGGACTGGGAAATTTATTTGAGAGAAACTGCAAATGCTATTGTGAGTCAACAGACACCACAAAGGTAGGTGAATACACTTACTTGCAGCTGTAAATTATGATTTTGGTGTACTCTCAGACCCCCCCCCCCCCCAAGTTATATTTGTTATATTTAAAAATGTGACCTCTTTACTTCAATTATATGTAATCTTCTGGCATTTCTACTGGAGCTGGTACTTTACAGCCAAAGGAAGTGAGCTTTAAAATTACCAGAGGTGGCTGAGTGGGAACTGAAACAATTATTGGTTTTCTCTTAAGCTTTGTAATCAAAAGTGAGCATAAGCTTAGTTGCATGTTGTGCTGCCCATGGTCATCATGTTTTTGGGGGGTGGGTGTTGTTTTGTTGGGGTTTTTGTTTTTTATTTTATTTAAGGCTTCTGTTTCACCATCTTTACATAATGCAGCTTTGTGAAAGAACTGGCAATGAGAAATTACTGTTTTTTTTAAACACTTTATCAGATGCCCCCTTTATCCATTTTCTTGTCATATACACAGCCTGATCCTTTCAGTCTGTTCCATACATTACATAAGATGTCACTTAAATTCTTGTATTTAATTTAAATACTTCTTGCCTCTGACCTCCTGATACCAAAACTTGAGAATTGATGACTGTTTCACTTTCTACTATCTAATCATCTTACCCCCTCTTGTAATCAATGAAGATGGGAAAACAGTGTAAACCAATCTTGTGGCTCTAATCAATTTTGTGGTGTCTTCTCACTAATGTTAAGCATGAATAATAATTTAGATATTAAGAGGAATTAAAAGGAGACAAGCTCAAGACAAATTCTAATAGTCTTGTAGCTTTTCAATTAACTGAGACTATTGTAACTAGAGTGTATGTAACTTATCTTACTGTTTTGAATAAAAAGTGATATGTAGCAGTTGAACTGAAGCCAACTGTCTTGTGCAGTTCTTTGGGGTTAAAATAACACACAAAGATAACACCCAAAGCCAGAAAAAAGCCACTTTTCTTCAGTTGACTTTTCCTTTTTTTTAATATATTTTTTAAATTTTTTTAATTTTATTTTTATTTTTTTATTTCCTGTAGCATATTTCACAAATAGTAAAAAACTATTAGTATGCTTCGGGGACATACTTCTGTTATCTTGTGGTGTCTTTCCAACAGGCTTTTAGAGGTCCGTGGACGGCTTTATGAACTCCTGACACACTGCATTCCTCCTGAGATTATAATGAAGGTAATTCAGTTATCTAGCTCTTCATGTGTTACAAATATTAAGGCTATGACAGTCTCAATTTGAGTTAAAAAATAAAAAAACTAAAACACACCAAAACATTACAAATTATCCAAATATTGATGAAAATCCATGACCTTAACAAATAGACATGAGTGACCAAAAGATTATCTTGTGTTTCGTTCCTCAGAAATAACCAAAATAGTCCAGTTTATTGTGCTGAAGCAGTAATCAAAGACCTTGTTCTTGCAAACACTGATACATAGCATTCAACTCCCATGATCCTCAGTTGATATGCCAGACTGTTTAGTTAGTTTCATGCCTGAATAAAAACAAAGGAGGATGTGCTTTGTACCCCTGAAGACTTCTCAGGCCAGTTTCTTTACTGAAGGAGACATATCCTATGGGCTAATGGTGATGTGTTTTTTTTTCTTTAGTAAAAGTTTTGTTGTAAGTTCAGTATTTGCTGTGTCCTACTGGGGAGGTTTATAAAGTATGCTAGGCCAGCAGGCCTCTTTAAAGATGGAAGTCATTTTGGGAGACAAAAAGCAAATAGATGTGCATATTGTTATTTTAGGTAGGATGAAAGGATGCTGAAGACAACTATAGCAGAACAAAGACTAAAGCTAATGTTTGCAACTGACTCTAGGTGGACTTTGCCATCAGACATAATTATAAGAGAACAAATTCCTTTTCACATTACCTGATTTCTGCTTTCTCACAGTTTTAGTAGTTAGATGTTTCTCTAGCCTTCCTTTCTTAAGATAGCTTAGTGGATCGTGCATTGCCCTGTTTGAGGACTGTTGTCATCACACTAAAGGTTGATGTTCTCTACCTGCTCCCTCTTCATAAATTTGAGATGGTCTAAAGATACTTCCCTCTTAAGCCTGACCATTTTAATAAATATAGATTTGCAATGATTTTGTTGCTGTCTTGGATCTAAAATAATGTGGGTTTGCGCTTTGTAATGACTGAAGTATTGGTGTACAGTATCTTGTGTGTGTCTGCACATACATATATGTACATAAATGTAAACAGATATACTTAAATAAGCCCTTGTTATTTATTAATGTTGATTCTCTTTGTGCTTGATACTGTCAAGACAGGAAGTCATTTTAATACACTTGCTATCTTGATAAAAATTCTTCTCAGGGCCATGTGCCTGCATGCAGCAGAGATTATAATATTTGGAGATAAGGTTAATTTGTTTTCTTTATTAAGGCGTAAGTAGTTTCAATATATGATTTTTCCCTTCTAAGAACACAGTAAGTGTTCATCTTGATGTGAGGAATTCATCTTGAAAGAAAGGTCTTGAAGAGACATGGTTCCATGAATCTAGTTCTGTTAAACAGGTGGTGTAATGATTCTTGAATGTCTTTCTTGTTGGGTTCATGAGCAAACTATTTGACATAACTTGGCTATTTTCAGAGAAACGGGGTTATCTTCTTAACAAAAAATGCACAATTTTTCAAATACTCTCCCATTTTTTCCCTTTTAGGGCCTTCTGACAGAACTTCTAAGTAACTGTGATGGGCAACTGAAAGGAGAAGTTGCACAGATGGCGGCCTTCTATGAACACCGCCTGCAGCTGGGCAGCAAAGCCATTTATCACCTGGAAGCGTTTGTTGCAAAATTCATGGCAATTTACAAGAAATTTATGGAGGATGGACTAGATGACATGATGTTCTGACTGATGCCAAAGTCATACACAGAATGTTGTGTCACAATGCCAGTAATGTTGCAAATGTCTACTTGTCCATGCTCGATCGAATGTAGGTCTAGTTCAAAATCAGATATTTTATTTTGATATTAATGTAAAACAAAGTGAAATAAAGAACAGTGTTTGTTCTGTTTTAGAAACCAGATGGATTGTCTGACAGCCATAAATCCATCTTTAGATCCATAGAAAATACGTTAGTCTTTGGAAAGACAAGTTTCCTTGGGAGACGAATAAGATTATAGTTGCTTTGCAGTATTTGTAAGGTGACATTAAGAAGTGAGAACATGGACGCTACACTCATACTTTTTGATTGTTCATGGGCAACGCTGTAAGCAAAAGATGTTTTTCCATGTTCTGGTAAGTTCCAGTTTGATACGTATGTTCTGCCTAATGATTTATATATATTGTTGTCTGCCTGGCTTTTATTTTAGCCAGCCTGTTTTCTGAGATGTGCTGACACAGAATGTTTTCTTACTGTTGCTCATAACCAGTTGCATTGATACTGTGGATGAGCAATACTTTTGTGTTGCTTGTGAAACAGTTCGACAGCATGGAACATTCTATTTAGAAGCAATATACCTATGCAGAGCAAGCACCCTTGCTGTCTGAGATTCACCTCAACATACATAATACTGTTCAGGTAACGATCGTTCCTTTGACTGTGGTTTAACCAGGGTGAAGTTTTCGCTTTTATCAGTTTAGGAAGTGAAAGAATATTTGTTACGTGGCATTTCTAAAATGGCAAAATAAATTGTAAAAATACAAACAACAAACGGAATGCTGAATTAGTGTTTAAGCACTGTCTGTGACTACCTAGGGATGTGCATTCGTCTGCTTTGGTGTAGACTCTCTTTCAGAAAGGTAGGATATAGGCCCCCCTCTCCATTGTAACACTGAAGAGAACCACTGAAGTTTTAAAACCAAACAAGAAAAATATAATACCCCCCCACCCCAGCCAACACCACCTGTGCCACTTCGTTCTGCAAGTCTTCCATGTGTTATGTTTATGTACTAGGAATTAATACCCTTTGTTACTTTGCTGTGCTAACTTAGGCTGTTACTAGATAGTATTTAATGATGAAGTGAGTTAAATACTGTTTCCTGTAACACCTCCCACCCCCCACCCCTGGTTGGTTTTGGTTTACTTTTTTAGCAGGGAAGGGTTTAACATTTGGGGACTTTTGTGTCAGAGCTCCTGCATAATGGCAGGTGTGTGGAAGGTAGGGCCCTCCTGGTAATTGTTGAATTTAACTAGTTCCTGCTAAGTCTGTCATCCCCTTTGGTGCTAAGGCACAGCTTGCCTTCAGATTCATTGTCTGTGCTGGCTTGCTTTGTGCTCAACTGGTCTCCTTAGAACTGAAGAACTCTTAAAAGGTGGATTTATTGTTTTTCTTCCATCTGCTTTTGTCACCCAAATCCACAGCACTAGTGGCTTGTCAGAGCGTGAGTGTCTTGACTATCAGAGATCCTGGAAGACCATTGGATTAAATCAGTGGTAATGGAAATGAGTGCTTACAATTGTAAAGAAGAACACAATAATGGTAGAGGGGTCATAATTACCATATGTACAAGTTGCATGATCTTTCAGGAGCCTTGTCCTATCCATCTTTAAATGCTGAACAGCCAACCATTTGCCTACTACAAGTAGAATGTGTGATGAAGCAAAAGTGTGAATTCAAAAGATGAAATAACCTGCCCCAAAAACCAACTAACCAACAAAAAAAAAAACAACCTAAAAACTAATGTGGGAGAAAAGGAATATTTCACTAATGTGAAATACACTTGGAATGCACATGGACAGTACTGGTGTGGATGGTGGAGAGGCAGGAGCTGGAATGTAGGTTTGGCAGTTGGAGGAGGCAGAGGAGGGGCTTGGTGTTTCGAAAGATCTCAGTCAGTTTGTTTAGGAGACTGAAACTCCAACATAAATCTCTGTAAGTGTTCTATAAAATTTCCTGAGATTTTATATTTAATCGTGTTCTACCTGGGGTGAGTCAAGAGCAGTCAGGGTTGGAAAAATGGGATAATGACCTGGGATCACCGAGAGAAAATGGTTATCATTGCTCCTGTAAGCCAGCATTTCCTCCTACTCATCCTACTCCTGACCTTTGTCTTCTGCAGCCTAGAACACACAAATTTAAACACAGGGACACAACATTCAAATATCCGCACATGTTTTTCCTTCCTACAGTAATTTTGTATCTGATTTTGCATTGGTATCCAAAAGAGGCTCCCCACGGAAGTGATCCTGGTACTAAGCCTGTCAAGGGCTCACAGAGTATATGGATGATGCTTTAGGTTATGTGGTTTAGTTTTAGGTAGTCCTGCGAGGAGCAGAGTGTTGGACTCTGATCCTTAGGGGGTTCCCTTCCAACCTGAGAGATTCCATGATAACAATCAGTAAATGTGATTTTGGGGGACATCTCAGGCTAACTGCCTTGGATGTTGCTTTGGGGTAGCCGTAACACATGCATAGAGGCAATGTGGGTCAGAACCGAGCTCCTGGAGGAAGCAGTCCAGTAACCCCTTCCTTCATGCTGTGCACTGATAAATGGGGCTGATGGGAATGTATGAGCAGGTGGCTGTAAGAACCAAAAAGGAGTTTTCTGCCATTTTTTCCCCTTGTGCGTCTGCTGTGTATGTAACCCTTTTACTGGTAAAGCAGCGCCTTAGCCCAGTAAGCAAGGGGCAGGCATACGGCCCAGCTATTGACCTGCCCAGAGCACTGCTCATCTGCTTCACAGATAAAGTAGGAGAAAGGCAGTGCAGATAGACTGTTCAACACTGAATAGCACAGGAGCAACCTCTAGATGATCTACTTCAGCTGATTTCATCTTTTGAGACCTGCTTAGAATCTCTTCTGAGTTGCACGCAGGGAGGATTACCCTTGCTTTCATCCAGTGTTACCTCCTGCTAGTTCCAAATGAAACTTCAAGCTGCTCCCACCCGGGTGGGATTTAAGCACTGCGCAAGTCTAAGAGGTTGCAGAGGAGTCAGCTTCACACTAGCACAGAAAGCCAGAGGTGAAACCAGTTTAAAAAAAATGTCAGGAAACTAAAGGCAGCAAATACTTCAGTTAAAACTTTCTGTGCTCTGCAGAGATCAGCTGTGCAAAGGGCAAGTGCTACACAAGACTTCATTCCCCATTTCCAAGTGTTAACTCCCATGAGAAACATTTTTAAAATCATATTATTTTTAGCCATCCATGGTAAACAACTCTGCTTGAGCCTTAATCATAACGAACATACTGTGTGATGGGAAGACTGATTTTGTAAAATGTTATTTTGTTAAATCCCTATGAGCAAAGCTGACATGAGCAATGTCCCGTCTCTACCAGTGAAGTGCCCTGATTTTCGCAAGGTACAAGGTAAGGTAGGTAAGAGTTCATTATCACAAACTTACCTTCCAGTACAGGGAATTCAAGATTATTACAGTTCATTGACATAAAATAATAGCTGTAATTTTTCTCGCTGGGAAGCGCTGTGGTATGCTTGAGCAGCCTTTAATCCTTCTGGCTTAACATTTTTTACCTGCACTAACAATTAAGGCTCTATGAATTTGTTGCATTGGATTTTAATCAATGACCCAAACCAAGTCCTGGAGTTACATTCTACTAAACAAAAGTTGTCCTAACATGACAGTGAAATGTACTTCTAGTTCTTTAAGGCCAAAATACTTCTCTTCATCTTTGCATTTCATAAGGGCGGAAGGCATATAAATACAAAAGCATGCAAATGAATTAACCGCTGTTGTTGGATGTGCCCTGCAGGCTAATCAATAGTACATCATGCAAGTTGCATGTCGGGAGTTAGCTGCACATCACAGATGACCAGGATTAAAAGAGTTTGCCATTAACTTCAGTACATTAGGGAACTGATTCAGAATTTTCTCTGTCATCAAAAACTGAAATAATTTTCTGTCCAAATTAACAAGGACAGCTGGGGCCTAACCCAGAATTTGTTTTTTTCAAAGCAGTGGATCTCTGCTTGTCTGAAAAATGAGCCTACGAGCAGTTAAATCTTCCTTTAGCAGATTTTCTTCTACAGTTGTGTACAGTGTGTGTGCTGAACTTCTGGAAGAAATTGTATTGTCTCAGCAATCCTGGAGCTAGTAAATACTGTGGTATTTCAGTGGGGATGGGTTTGGCCTCTCTTAAATAGCAGTGAGGCATAAGAGAATACAAGCAGAAGGAGCCTGAAGCACATAACTTCACCACTGATACCACTGGTCCATCTGTGTTTCTCCTAACAGATGGAGTGCCCATCACCACTTCTGTCCTGGCATCATCTTGGAGCAGATCTTCCGTGTCCCAGGACATGGAGTAGGTGTTGGTCTTTCACTATAGAGCCTGTCTTAGGAACAGACACTATGAGATGTCATCTGAAGTGCTGGGCAACAGTGAAGGTTGCTGTTCTCTGCTTCCCTGCAGTAACGCAGTGCTGGAAGCATCCTCGCTGCCACACCACAGTGCTCTGTCAATATCAGTGGCTCTGTTTTGCTGTGTCAGGGGAAATCTCTGCTTTTGATACAATGTGGTACTTTATCACAAATGTGTCCCTGATAGTCCTGTAGCGGCTTTCAGCTCTTAACAAAAATTATGAGGTCTTAGTCCCATGGAAGTCCTAAAGTTACTTTTAACTCTTTCTCTGGGTCCATCTCACAGAAGTTAATATTATTATTTTCCTATACAGACTTAGTGTTATTCCCAGAGTAAAATCGTGCCATGATAACTGCTGGAATGCAGGCTCCTAGCTTCACATGTGAATTATGGCATTATGAATGCCCTCTGCTCAGAGTCCCTTTGAACCATGTCTGTGCAGTCCTTGAGATTTCTCCTCCTCTTTAAGCCTCACTCCTCTCTGGTTTGCAAAGGAAGCTGAAATATCTGAAATTGATTTCCAAGAAGAAGGGTGGTTGGAAACAGCAGGAGCTGGTTTAAGAGTGGCTGGGGACAGGTAGAGGAGGTCAGCTATCAGGAAGCACGAAGATAAGGGGGGGGCTTTAGACACTTGAAGAACAGCTGGGGGGGAGATGTTTCTGTGCTTGGGAGCCATCTGCCTAGGCAGGGATCTACATATGTTCCTTGGAGGTGACCAAGGCTCATGCTTTTCTGAAGCCCTGGCACTTCTCCTCCCTGAGCTCCAG